ACATTTATCGTGGTAGCTTAGACGGGTAGCAAGAGTCGCTAGTACACGAAAGAGGAAAACAGTGCTGTGTGCCGGCGCAGCGCGTTGTACCTCTCGCGTTGTTAGCTGATTAAAAAAGGAGGAAGAGCTGCAGCGAGCGGCGGAACAACGCGCGCGCTGGCCGCGTCGATTGAAAAGTTCGGTGCGCGTTCGGCAGTCGATTCGCGTCCGTGAAACTCGCGAAACGAGAGAGAGAGAGAGAGAGAGAGAGAGAGAGAGAGAGAGAGAGAGAGAGAGAGAGAGAGAGAGAGAGAGAGAGAGAGAGAGAACGACGAGCGGCGTTCCTCGGCTTACGTGGAACGCTGCCAGACAAAATTAAAGCATTGGGAGTAGCGGCAGGTAGTCGAGCAAAACACGGAGCCGGTTGGTTTATTTATGTGACAGCGTAGTTATAACACGCGCCGGCCGCAGCTTTTCAAAGTAAATGGACGCTCTTCCGATACTGCTCGATACCTTCGATTCGGTAATCGAATACGTGTAGTCCAGCGGCGAGAAAGAATCCGATGGGATTTTTCCGCCGTCCTCCGCCGCCCTCCGCCGCCCTCCGCCGTCCTCCGCCGCCCTCTGCCGTCCTCCGCCGTCCTCCGCCGCCCTCCGCCGCCCTCCGCCGCGTAGTTGGCCCTGTTTTTCTCGGTGGAAAGTGACGGGGAGTGTGCTTTAGTTGTATTCCGCGGGAACAGAGAAGGGCGATTCGCTGCATTTTTATGTCAATATACGACTTTCCTTCTCTGTCTTTCTCCCTCTCCCTTTCCTTCCTTCTCTCTCTCTCTCTCTCTCTCTCTCTCTCTCTCTCTCTCTCTCTCTCTCGCTTTCTTTGTGCCGATTCGATCGATCGATGCTCCCGTTTTGTGTTTTAGCCGCTTGCGTCCTCGGTATGACACAAGTTGAAATTGATGACGCCACTTAAAATCTTGGTGGAATCTACGAGGGTAGTCTGAAAAGTTCTCGGCCTAACAATGAAAAAGAATTTTTTTTGCCGTGAAAAATGTTTTATTTTTCAATATAATCTCCTGAAACTTCAATACATTTATTCCAACGTTTTTCCAATAATTCAATACCATCATTAAAGTGTGATTCCGGAAGGTTCTTTTCGCTCTGGTGTATTGTGGTGGATTCAAGTTTCATCAACAGTTATGAGACGACGCTTGAAATCTATTTTATTTTGCTTAAAACGATTAAAATGTGCCAAGCACTCTTGAGAAATACGCACTCGAATGCGTTTTTGATCAATTGTTAGCAAATGCGGCACCCATCTTGCACAAAGCGTTTTCAACTGGTGCTACTACTCGAATAATTTGACAGATCGAATAAAATTTTACATAGATTTGTATCAGGGATGCCACTTTCCGATACAATTATAGTTTGACAGTTTCTAATGCCACGTATGTGTCAGGTCGACAACTTTTCAGACTGCCTACGTATATCTTTTATTTTTTTCTTGCGTTATACTGCTCACTCTCTGCATTCAATTATTAGATTGATAATATGTTAGCTATATTGATTGTATCGCGATCATTATATCGGCATTATATGACAAGTGGGCCAATTGAAGCCAAATGTCTACGCTAGCGTGTAGTTGAAAAAATTTCTTTTCGAAAGAAACAAAGTTTAGGTGAGTGTAAATCTCTCACCGAATCGCTCGGCGTGATTATCGTACCCGACCTACCGCGTTATCAATTCTTTCGCGTCCGTGAATCTTCAAGCGCAAACTTTAAGTACAAACCACCTTTTTCTCTCTTTAACTTTTGTGATTATCAATGATAAAAAAATATAAATGATAAAAGTGAAATATAAGAGACTGAAAGTGGTGAGAAAGTATTTGATTTTTAATTTCCGACTTTAAAACATGAGAAGAAATATCGCCTCAATTTCATTAGGCGGCGAAACTTGACTGAAAAATTTGGCGAGGAAAATCGATGCGTTTACCTTAACTTTATCCCGCTAAAATAAGTTTACCTAATTATACATTAACATCCACGCTTGATTCTTGTCGAACTTCTTACTGCTGTAATTTTTCATTTTGTTTTACCGAATGCTCGCTTAATTATTGGCGCATTCGACTGGATATTCTAGCACGCGCTAAATGCGCTCTCTCTTAGTACTTAGTATTCGATTGGATTACTTTTCAACGGTGCGGAATCTATGTACAATATATTTAACTGGAAGCAAACGTGGCGGCAAAAGTTATATTATTAAATAAATTTTTTGGTTAAGCACTTGTAGTAATTTCAGCGAGAAAGAAATGCTGTATATTAATGAGGAAGGAGAATATTAATGAGGATAAACAAAAGTTCGAGACATGATTGAAATTCGTTCATGAAAATATTCTGAAAAAGAAGTATATTATATTTCAGTTTATATAAACTGCTATAAACATCTGCCGTAACGTGTCTCTCTTAAAACATTATTTATCCTCCAGCGACATTTCCGTCTTAATCGGGATACATTTAACCAATTGTCTCACGTGCATGCAAACTGAGAAATTTTTGAAACGTTAAGAGAGCATGCAAAATGTAAAGAGTTGCAGATAATAATATGCAATTATTTTCATTTCTATGGCATATATTTCTCACATATACCTGTTTATATGTGCCGTGCTGACAAAAGAGAATATCGCGCGAATAAACGACTCACGCACAAAGGTCCCGCTTTTGAAGTGAAGCGTCGCTCATTGCACGTATAAGCACCGACGAGATTACCAATAGCACTGTATTTGAAGCAATGTGTATAATCCCGCGCTTGGGACAATAATAAAAACACGCGCTCGGAACGCGCGGGCGCGCGGTAACACAAAAAATAGTTTCTAGCCATTAGCAGAGTGCGTGGGCGAGCGCATGTCAGTCGAACTCGCCATACGCTAACAGCCGAATTATTTTTTGGCTTGCTGCTGCGAAAATAATTGCACGGCGTGGTGTACGCGGAGCGTGACGGTGCAACGGCGATAAGCAACGGGCGATAAATAAGTACGACGCCTTAGGCCTGATAGAATGCATCGTGTCGCGTCGTGTCTGGGCGAAGAAGAGCCGAAAACTTTTCTTATCCCGCACGAAGTTCCGTAATCATCGGACTTTCCGCCTCACCTTCCGCGGCACCTGCCGCAGCCGTATTCGCGAGATTGCTTTGTTAGTTATTTGTCGGGCAACTCGGCTCACTGCGACGAATAGACGTTTAATGAGCTCGCTCTGTCGTAAAATGTTTGTATAACTTCTCTCGCCGCGCTGGCCCGCCTCTCATCGGTCGGTCGGCACATCATTATCCGCTTCGCGTTAACCGTCGGGACGAGCCCCCGGCAAAGCGGCTCTGCAAACAATTTGCAGATAATTATCAGCGCAGCTCGAGACCCGCTCTGTGCATTTTTCGCGGCGCTATGCGGCCATTTGTCAAGTTAAGCGACCGGAGGCTGGAGCGTCGCGCGTATTATCGGCCCTCCTCGTGAGTTGCACCGCCACATCGGGTGTCGTCTTCTCGCGAAATTTTCGGGATCTAATTGGGCTTCGCGTGAGAGATTAGACACACGACGGAATGGTACGCGCGGTGGAACATCTTGCCGAGAAAGCGGAGAATAAAGTTGTCGAGAACCCGACTAGAAATTTATCCCATGGTCCTGATCAGGTTAACCTCATCAGCTCCCAATAAGGTAATACTATCGGGTCCTGGTAAGTCATGCAACGCAGCGTGGATATCAGGACTTTAGCAAGGTTCATAGTCAGATCCTTATTGAGTTACCTCATGGAATCCTTATTACGTTCTTTTTTTTCAAATTATGACTCCTGATTACTCGCCACGGCTGTACTGGGTGATGACATTAGAAATAAGAAATGACACGCTGGAAATTCTTTCATGTCATTTCCAGATAAAAAGATATTTGCGTGAAATAATATTTTAGATCGCTTGATCGCATACTTGTAAAATGTTTCGGAAAAGAAACATAAAATGAATGTCATAAGATCATAAAGTATCACAAGGTGACAAGACATGAAGTAGTGTTAAAGAGAAAAGTTGCATGTCACGTTAATTTTACAACTATTTATTGACTGCTGAAAAGAGGATAGTTTCTATTGCATTTTATAAATATATTCAAGTGATCTGAAGGGTTTTTTCAATGCAAACATCTTTATATTTGCAAATGACACCCAAAAATTGTTTTGTTAAAACTTGATAATGCAAATCATATTACAGGTACAATGAGTAAGATCTCTGATTAACTGAAGCATATTATATCATACACTAGGTTGATATATTAAGGAGGTCCTAATGTGGACCCAATCATTATAACCTTATAAAGGTCTTCCTTACTCCTTTGTCGTTAAGATATTATAAGGACTGACTTACTTAGGATTACCTTTCATTCACCCTACTAGGTCCTTATCAATGTTAAGTGAATCTGATCAAAATTCCTAGTCGGGAAGAAGACTGAATATTTAAGAGAATCCGTGATGAAAATTAAAGCGAAGTTAAAGTTGCAGGTCCCTCGATACACTTTGTTTCCTTTTCATCTCTCTTTTTCCCTCTTTCTCCATTTCTCTTGAGAAAAGTCTGCCGTCCTTTTATCTTGTATGATGGAAGGAAGAGAGAGAGAGAGAGAGAGAGAGAGAGAGAGAGAGAGAGAGAGAGAGAGAGAGAGAGAGAGAGAGAGAGAGAGAGAGAGGGAGAGAGAGAGAGAGGGAGAGGGAGAGAGAGATTGAGAGAGGCAGAGACGGAACGCGGCTCCGCTCGTAGCAGAAAAATAGGAAGCGACGACGCTGCTAACGACACGCTTGCATCAGTGTGCAATATCGCAAATGGCCGGAAATAATGACATCGTCTCTTCGCATTTCCGTTATTTTTTCGAACGTTAACGGAAGACCTTCATTATTCCAGCGGGACGGGGATCGCATTCCGTTCGTCTGTTTGCCGGGGCGGACGGCAAAGCGCGCGACGACTCGGAGTGGTCGCGTTACACGGCAGCGCGAGGTACTCACTCTCATGCAAAGCCGTAGATATAGTTTTGATCGTCGGATCGGTGTAGATCTGCACGTCGAATCCGAGATTGCTCAACGACGCCCGGAGATTCTCGGCGTCCCTCTCGGAACCCTTGCGCGTGCTCATGCTCTCGAAGTGAATGTGGTTCAACACGAGCGCCACTCCTCTCCTCTTGTGGTTCATGTTGTATTCTTCGGCGTGCGGGTTGAGACTGATTTCGACAGGCTTTTGGCTTTCGTACGTGTACCTGCGCGGAGCATCGGTTGAATGCGTTAAGAGGATGCGTTTCGATCGATGTTACTCGAAAATGACGCAAGCAGGCACTCGTGCAGAAACACGCGGCGCGGGCTTGGTCGATTTTAGAGGCGAGTGAATAAGATTGATATGAATGAGAGAGAGAGAGAGAGAGAGAGAGAGAGAGAGAGAGAGAGAGAGAGACGCTCTTCTTCCCTTCTCGGAAAAAGGAAAAGAAAAAAGGAAAGTTTTCATGTCGGAATCATTATCAACGTTTCGTTCATCGATCTTCATTGGTCACACCGCTACACGTAGAACATTTCGATGTCTTCGTTAGAAGCTGAATAGAAGGATCTGCGGGCGAAAGGAGCGACGATTGCTCGATGATTTTCCGCGGAAATACAGAAAAATAAGCGACTCGAGGAGCGTCCGGCTGGCAGATCCATCCTCGATGGACTAATTGCCGCGAGAATCCTCTCCTTCTGTCTCGGTATGCGTTCGCTCGCGGAAATACGGAAGCGAAGAATTTCCGTTGTTCTTTATAATTGTCCGGTACCTTTGTGCGAAAGAAGTCGACCTCGCGTAAGCACGCGCGTCCACTGGCGCACACAAACAAGGACGAGCACGCGCACATTGCGGACGAAATAAACGCCAGTAGCATTTAGCGTTACGGTCCGGCGTAATTAGCCGGTAGATGGCTGCAAGATCCGGACTTGAGGACAATCGTGAGCAAATGGATGGCGCGAAGAACGCACGGAGAAATGAAGAGAGAGGGCGAGGAAATAGACTGAGGAGAGGGAAACAGAGAGTGAGAGAGCGGGTGGGAAAAAGGATGACAAAGGGGGCGGGGGGGGGGGAGAGAAAGAGGAGAGAAGTATATCTGCAATGTTTTGCCTCTTTGCAGCTGGTTTCGGGCGAAATATCGGGGTATTTCTTTCCTCGAAAGCGAAGGCGAAGGCGAAGGCGAAGGCGAAGGCGAAGGCGAAGGCGGGTCCTTCGCTCTCCTCGCGCAAAGTGCGCCAGTCTGTTTCGTACTTTCCACTCACGTACGCTCACGCAGATGGATATCCTGTTTAGCCGATGGAGCCGGGTCGGGATCATACCGCAGACAATTTAATTTCAACTCGCACCGCAATCGAGAACTCCCGCCGCCGTCGCGGCGATTCCGCGGCGTTTTATCGCGCGGCAACCCGGCTCTTCCCGCCGCCGCGTCCGTTCGAGTCGCACGTACGTGCGATCCAACTTTCGCGAGAGTTGCCGCGATTACGATTGTTCCGGATCGGTCGACTACGCCGGTCGAAAGTAAATCTGCGGTATTGGACGATTGCGTGGAGTGCACGAGCAGACGGAAGCGGGATCGGCCGCATTTTGCCGTTGCACTGAACGAGCTATTAAGGCTCGCTAAAAGGACGCTAAACCTCGCGTGGCTGAACGCGTGTTCTTCCGGGGCCTCGGGAATTGCGACTAAACGTCGCGCGATTTAAATTGGAATAAACATTTTAACTAAACACCTGCAATTGTATGTGTGCCGCTGTGCTGTGGATCTGTGGATTTAATTCCGGTAGATTGCGGAAGCAGGACAAATTGCGAGCGTACAAGGCGTGGCACGCAAAACAAATTAGATCAATTTGTAGAAACATCGAGATCGGAGGAGAATTCTTCGTTATTATTTTTTGTTTTCATTGTACTCGTAATTATACGCGGACACGAAATGATGACGATCGATCGTCTTGGTATTTCGTTCCTACCCGACTGGAAATTTATCCCATGGTCCTGATCAGGTTAACCTCATTTGGACATCAGCTCCCAATAAGGTAATACTATCGGGTAACCTAGTAAGTCATGTAACGCAGCGTGGATATCAGGACCTTAGTAAGGATTCATAGTCAGGCCCTTATTGAGTTACCTCATGGAATCCTTATTACGTATCCTTTTTTCAAATTATGGCTCCTGATTATTCGCCACGGCTATATTGGATGATGACATTAGAAATAAGAAATGACACGCTGAAAATTCTTTCATGTCATTTCCAAATAAAAAGATATTTGCATGAAGTAATATTTTAGATCGCTTGATCGCATACTTGTAAAATATTTCGGAAAAGAAACATAAAATGAATATCATAAGATCATAAAGTATCACAAGGTGACAAGACATAAAGTTGTGTTAAAGAGAAAAGTTGCATGTCACGTTAATTTTACAACTATTTATTGACTGCTGAAAAGAGGATAGTTTCTATAGCATTTTACAAATATATTCAAGTGATCTGAAGTGTTTTTTCAATGCAAACATCTTTATATTTGCAAATAACACTCAAAAATTGTTTTGTTAAAACTTGATAATGCAAATCATATTAGGTACAATGAGTAAGATCTCCGATTAACTGAAGCTTATTATAACATACACTAGGTTGATATATTAAGGAGGTCCTAATGTGGACCCAATCATTATAACCTTATAAAGGTCTTTCTTACTCTTTTGTCGTTAAGACATTATAAGGACTGACTTACTTAGGATTACCTTTCATTCACCCTACTAGGTCCTTATCAATGTTAGGTGAACCTGATCAAAATTTCTAGTCGGGTAGCGCCGTACCCAGGATGCTTCTCACCTCTCCTTCTCTCTCTCTCTCTCTCTCTCTCTCGCTCGCCTTACATGATTTATTTTCCTCGTCCGCCGCAAGGAGATTGTGTTGTAACTGTAAAATAACCGTGCAGTGATCCGGCTGTGATGATGATGATTTATCGTTATTTAATCGTCGCATTTCGCTCGCCCCGACGGTGGATATATATTTCTGTTAGGCGTCGCTAATTTGAGCAAGCGCGACGATGTCGTCAGACGTTAACGAGACACTTTTGCATCCGCGACAGTCGGCGTATGCTAAATTGATGATCACTGCGCCGCGGCGTTCTTTTCACTCGCGGTCCCGTGGCACGGTTTTGATCCATTTACGAGAAAAGTTGGTCCCGCGATTCAACCTATTCCGCGACGGGGAATCATTTACTTCCCGAGCGTACTGACAATCGCTAGACAGCTCGTGCGCGCCGTGTGCCATTAGTCAGGCCGCACGCCGCAGTGACAAAGCAACATATATTCGCGACGTTTTGTCCGCGACAAGTGACACACGTGTAGCTATGAATATACGCGTCCGTGTGTGCGTGCGGTGTGTGCAGCGTTTCTGCGCCAAATACACGTCATTGATATCTCGCCGCTTTGTCTGCCGCGCAGCGCTTTCGCGCTTCGTCAAGGCGCTTTTATCTTTTTATCGCCGGATTAACTGCTCGACGAACATTCACCTTCGCCAATTATCTGCCGCTATCGCGTTTCTCCTTGCGCTTGCCTGATCCCGAGGAACATGATAACGTGTGGCCCGGCCCGCTATCTCGCCGTCTCGCAACGGACAACGTTCGCGAATATTAAGCGAATAATTTACTTATTTATCCACTTCTCGCTGAATCGTAACTGCGCGGATTGAACTGCGTTCGGCTGCAGCGTTCGCTGCCGCGCTGCCGTAATTCCACTTGTACTCGTTAGGATTAATCTCGTTAAAAGTCTCATCGTTAAAAATAGAAAACCCGCGACGGCGGGCGAGGCGATTAAAACTTTAAGACGGGCGGAAAAAGAGCTGAAGCGCGAAGCGCTCAAGTGCAGCCAGCACAGAGAGGGTCATCGTCAGCGGCGCTCGCGGATGGATGCCCTGATGAATATATGGAAATGACACACCTCTTCCCCCCCCCCTCACCCCTCCGCATCCTACTTGCTCCTCCACACAAATACATACGCATGTAGTCTCCGTGGATACTCGAAACACGTGGACGTCGGCAAGAGGGACCGACCGACCGACCGAGGCGGGTCGGCGGAGTGGCCGGGGGGGGGGGAGATGAGGATGAAGGGGGAGAGTACAGGTCGGATGTGACAAAACCACCGTGGGGCGCTTACAAACTAGTCATAAACGCGGTGAGCCGGTGGCCATTACGAGACAAATGTTCGTCGTGGGAGAAGTGAGCATTACCGGCATTACCGCGGACTCCGCGGCGTTTACTTCGGGCTCTAAAACATTTTGCGCCTAACGGCCTCCCAACTCCGACGCTATTATGAATATAAATTCACCCCACCGGGGTGTACCACCCCTTTCGACCCGCGGTGTACCCGGTAGACCGGTATCCGACGAGCGCGCGTCAGGCTACGCGTTATGCGCGCAGCTGCGAGAATGATCGGGCTGGAACAGCCCGCGGAACCGCTCCCACGTGTGTCTCGATAAGGGCCGGACGAGAGGGGAGGGAGCGCTGGGGGGGCGGGGAGGGGGGAAAATAGAAAAAGGATGAGACGAGGCGACTTCGTTGTAGCAGTGGGGCTCCTGAGTAGATAACGACACTCTGTAATGCGCCTTCGATTGTATTTCTCCTCGCGAGCGTGATAAACTCGATTTCGCGCGGTAATCGCGATTGGCGGCGGGACTGTCTATCGCTGCAGCTGATCGATTCAAGATACAGAGACGAGCGAGCGACCGGACGGGACCTCGCGACTGCGACCCGGGAACTGCGTTGCGAGCCGAGGGAAAAAAATATTTTCGTTCGAGCAGAGAGAACACGATGCAAGAGCCCGAAGCTTGATAAATAAATAGCGCGTGTTACGCGATACGTTTTACGCGCGGCTGACGAGTACGTGGCAATATTTAGACGAATGAGGAGTCGGAGGGGAATAGCCCAGAGCGAGGGCTATTCCCCTCCTCTTCTCGCTCTCGGTGAAAATGAGAAAAGTATCGCGCTCACGTGCGTGTGTGTATGTGTGTATCGGAGAGAGGCCAGGCGGGTCGTAGCCTGACGTAGACTCTCTCGTGATAAAAAAAGAAGCAAGAGAGAGATAAGGAGAGAGATAGATGGAGATCAAGGGAGAGGGGGGGAGAGAGAGAGAGAGAGAGAGAGAGAGAGAGAGAGAAAGAGAGAAGAGAGAGAGAGAGAGAGAGAGAGAAGGAGAGGAAGAGACAGCAAGAAGCGACGAAAAGCAAGCAAGCGAGGCGAGCACGAGAGCGAGCTAAGAGGAGTGCGGTGTATGTCGGCATGTCGATTACCGGCGGGCGCACACTTCCATATCGGAGTTTTATATCGGTCACGACGTGACGAAGTGGTGCTTACTTTGCTCTACTGAATGGCCATCCGTCCGGCACGCTCCGTTGCGGCTGGTCCGACAGCGGAACACTCCGCTGTTTCGGCTTCGGAGTGCACTCGTGGTCCGCCTGCATGTCCTCTCCGGTCGGATATTTCCTAACGATCCGTCGACCGTTTTCCCGATCGCTGACGCTCTCTCACCTGACTGCCCGCTGAAAAGACACGCACGCCTCGCTCTCTCTCTCTCTCTCTCTCTCTCTCTCTCTCTCTCTCTCTCTGGAAATTTATCTTATCGTTCGCACCCTCGAGAAAAAGCCAGATAAAAGCGCCGACGATAACGCCGACGATAATCTACGACACCTCTATGCGTCTTATTGAGCACATATTGTCGAACTGACTCGATATCGCGCTGTAGGTCGCGCCGCGATTCGCTGTTGAGCGCTTTTTGGGGAATACCGCGTGTCGGATACGCGACACAAAATGCTCAAATATGGAGCAAACGGTAATGCGTATTCGAGATGGAAATTGCCGCGACGCTCGCTACAGCGAGGTGGGTCAACTCCGAGCCGGCCGCGGCGGGACGTTAACGTTTGTTATATCCGATGCACCGGTAACGCGGAAATGGTGCATTGCGCGGATAGACAATGAAAAAAAAAGATATTTTTATCAATTATAACATTCTGGTTGGAAATGTTTTTTTCGAATTGGTTAGAAAATTCTTTCGGATTTTCGCTCTTTGCTTTTATAAAAAAAATTCTTCATTAATCCAATATCTATGGGGAATTAATTTAATATTTATATACGTTATTTATTTGCGGATCTCTTTATATATTTATTTATTTATCTGCATCATGGATCGTTATTTATTTTTATCCATGGAAATATTAGTCCAATGCTTGTGGACATAAGCTTGTGGATATGAATCGGCACTTAATAACGCTCTCCTGGTAAGATTCCCCAACATTTTCCAAGAAACGTTGCCTCATGAATATTACGCGACTCTCCAACTGCAAATTTTAGCCTTATCGTTGCGATCTCTACTATCGTTTTATTTTTCCGTTATTATCGATAATACCAATCGTCGTGGCGCAGCCGAGCACACGATAATCCGCGTGTGCGATATTTCCGAGTGGAAAAACTCGACGATGAACTTTTTGGGAGAGGAGAATATCCGCGTCTCTCGGCGACTACCCTACCTCTCCTCTTTTTCTCTTCTCCTTCTTCTTCTTCTTCTTCTTCTTCTGCTTCTTCTTCTTCCTTTCTCTTCCCCCTCTTCCTTTTCTCTCTTTTTCTTGCGCGGTCGAGTATGGTTCTCGAGTTTTCAATTCTGTCGTCAAATATCAACAAGCAAGCGTACGTCCCGTTGCCTTCCAGTTTCGTGTCGGCAGGATATCGGCGTTTTGCGATGTGTTTGCCCGGCGCGCACGATTCTCCCTCGGCCATGCGAGCCGGCCGCGCATTTCGCGGATTCGGGCGTCCTACTTTGCCGCCACTTGGCGATCGATCGTGTCGTATCGCTACCGCAGTTAATCCATAACGGTATTTGAATCGGCGATGCATAGCGCTCGGTATGATAATGACGAGTGTGCTTTATGGCTGTTCTTGCGCGGCAGGTAATCGGCTCTTCCCGGCCGGCGCTCGTCGGAATGGGACTCGGCGGAACCGAAATAGGCAGTACGACGACACACACTCAGGCGAATCAATCGGGGGCCGATCTATGCGAAGTGTATGCGAAGAAGCGGGCGGCCCGGGGGCGGCACGAGGGCCGGGCATATCCGAACGCCCTTGTCGAACAATAAGAAAACCGTCGCCGATGTCAGCGATATTTTACGCAACGGCGCGCCGTATTCCTGCTATAATGCCGCGGGAATTTATGCGCGCGGCTGTGTGTTCCAGCTGGCGCTCTTACACTGGCGTGCAAATCGGGACCGATTATACTGACAGACGTAATCGATTCGTGACAGACAGCGGAGGAAAACGGTCGGAGAAAAGGGTCGGCCGAATTTCTACGTATAGCTATACACGATTATTATTTTATATTCTTAAAAATATCCACGAGAGGTTCTCGTTCATACTCGCGATGATTATTATTATTTTCTTTTAAAAAAATATCTGCGGAATATACTTGCGATGAATTTATTGTTATTTTTTAAGAACGTCGACGAAGTCTAGCTGATACTCTTCGGACCACGTCGAGCTTTTTTTTGTGTCTTGTCAGGTTAAAGGCATCGAAAATCCGCAGGTAAACGTCACCCAACGCGAAATCACCTCGTTTCGTCTCGCGTGCCGCGAAATGGTCGTTTTTATTAATCCCCGCGGAGTTTGAGGAACGACGGGCTCGCGCAATTTCCCTCCGCGAATAACCGGCAAATGGGTAATAGGGTACAGCCGCCGCTTTCATCAAAGCTCGGCGCAGGTCCGCGAAGTGAGCCAACGGGCGGAAATGTCCATTTGCTTGGTTGCAGTGCTTGCTCAGAACGCTGAAAGCGACTGGCGGCGGCTCCTACAGAGCTCGGCTGACACTCTTCTCGTCCCTCGCATCTCTTCGCTCCGTTGCGAGAGAATCGCCAGTCATGACGCGCGTGGGAGCGGATGTCCACTTACGTCGGAATTCCTCTTTACCTCGCGACTTATTATTCCTCCCTCGACGTCGCCTCGACGTCACGACGCATGTCATGCACGTCGCTACGTCTTATTCACGTGACTGTGTTCGTATTAACTCGCTGCGAAACGGGAGTGACAAGGTGCGTGTTGGGGCGAAGGCTATTCGCATTCGTTATTTAATTTCCGGATATCGAGAGTATTCTCCTTCTGTGTTGCGATCGTATCTTTGTTGCATATAACTACAATATTGAGATATTTTTCGTGTAGCTTTGTTTGCACGAAAAAGAATGTTCGGTTGAATGAAGCAGTTTTACCATGAAATAGGAATAATTTAGAAATTTTTATAAGCAAAGACCAGAGTGTTTTGCTTGAGTCAACCGGAAATCTTGTTTAAACTGAATTCTGGTAATCTCAACTGGAATTTTTGTATTGTTCATATCTCGCTGGAAAATTGTTTCATTCGACCAGACATTTTTTTCTGCATCTAATTAGTTATGTTTTCCAGTTTGATAATTGAGCCTGCAATTGATTCCATCCTTCTGCGATTTATCGACTGAGGATGAGTAGCATCTTTAAAATTTTCAGGAAATAAATTTTCTTTCTTACATAATCACGTAAAACTATCTGTTCCATGGCAAAATTCTCAAATTCCGAACAGTATTTGAATGGCAGTGAAACTACGGAAAGAGCACGTAGAGTTACACTAGACAGTTATGTTCCGTCGAAGATTTTGCGTTAGTTGCGGTAGTTGATGCAAATACAATTTATAAAATTTAAGTTCTTTACATTGCTTTTGGGAGCAAAGCCTATATACATCTATAGTTTTCATTCTTCTTAATTTACAAAGTACAGTGGAATGTACAGCAGAATTTTGAGAAAAATTTGTTATCTTCAACACGTGCTTGAAAAATAACTAAAATACGCTCACATAGTATCTATGTCTGCAAATAATTATTCACCTGAAATTTATATCAATGTGTCTGGTTATATTTCTCTCTCAGCATCTGCAACTATATCTAGTTATTTTCGAAAGTGTTTCCCTTACAATGCCGCTCTCATTAGTAACGAATATCGCGAAAGGAATCGGGTCGAGCGTCGCGTGCGAGAGAGAGAGAGAGAGAGAGAGAGAGAGAGAGAGAGAGAGAGAGAGAGAGAAAGAGAGAGCGCGCCTCCGTGTGAAGGTAAAAATTGCGTTCCCCGAGTCCAGGGCTTTATACCGAATTGTCGAGATTCAATTACGCGAAAATACGCAATTAGTCGTTGTTATCTTGTTTCCAGACGTACAACATGGACGCCCAAGTCGGCGAATCGTCGGCATGCGCGACGGCCCTGCTCTGCGGAGTTAAAGCCAATTACGAGACTGTTGGGCTGGACTCGTCCGGGCGCTTCGAGGACTGTTACTCCAGTTCCAAGGCGCACGTCCCTTCGCTTATTAATTGGGCTCAGCATCAAGGTGAGTGCTGTGAGCAAGCGATACGTCGCGTTGATGATTGTTTGCGCGACATTCTGTCCGAGCGCTGTTTCCTCATGGTGAGCTGCGAATCGACGGTAAACGTCCAACATTCGAGATCGCGCACCGCTTGCGCGAATTTCAGATTCGCGGCCAACACACCTCTATTACGCACATTTCCGATTCCTCGCTGAATTCGGCATCGATAACGCGATTTTCAATAGCGGACAACGACGCGCGTCTTGGCGCGCCCGTCGCGCAACGTGCGGCTTTCGCGTCTCTCCTCCTCTTTCTTCGGCTCCAGCTGCTCGAGCACGCGAAATGGACCGACATCGGCGAGCACATTCTTCGTAGACAAAAGGTGCAACGACAGATCTCTCTCATTCTCGCTCTCTTATTCTCTCTCTCTCTCTCTCCTCTCTCCCTTTCTCTTTTTTTTTTCCGGTGCGTACACGCAGCTGATATAGAGATTAATCTTCCTAATCGGGTAGTTACTTTCTACCGAGTTTCACGACGCGACATTTACGGCCCCGCGATCCTGTCATTATGAGCAAACGTAATTAATCCGCGCATACATTCAATTTCCGGCCGAGGACAGAGCGTTAAAACGATTAAACTGCCCAAACACGACGCGCGATTAAATGCCCACGTATAAATTGAATTCGCGCGTACGCAGCCCGCCGGACGGTGAACCTCGTATTCTTGGCGCGGCGTTTGACCGGAAGCCGATATCTAATTTACGACTCGTGCTAATTGCACGGCGCTGGAGCGATTCGCCTAATGGAAGATTTCATGCGCTGTTTATTAACTCGCTCTCTCTCTCTCTCTCTCTCTCTCTCTCTCTCTCTCTCTCTCTCTCTCTCTCTCTCTCGCATGGAGAGCGCGCATATGCGCGCGCGTGTGTGTACGCGCGTAGGTGCGGGTATTCCGGACGCGCAAACGTCGAACTTTCGTAGTTTCATGGTGCGCCAGCGGGGCGGGGAGGGGGGTGAGGGTGATAAAACCGGGGCATTTTCAATTTAGCGAACACACGTGCGCGTCGCGCGCTAATTGATGCAGCTACCTGGGAGATGGGGAGATCAGATTGATACGGATGCTTCTTCAATTCTGTTTTCTCTGCTCCCTCTCTCTCTCTCTCTCTCTCTCTCTCTCTCGCTTCTTTTTCCTTTGTTTCTGTTCTTACGTAATCGCGCGCATAGCTTGGGTTAATCCCCGAGCATTTGCTGGATCGAGAGTCACTAGATATTCTCAGCTGACGCGTGCGTTATGCACTCATTGTTGATCGCCAAAGGAATCGACAAAGTAGCCGTGATAGATTGATAGTTCGAGCTTCAGTTCACGTACACAGAGAAAAATGGTCAAAAGAGCCAGTTTTCTGATGAAGTATGATTGTGATTCGGAAATTCTGACGATTGAAAATACCGGAATACCGTTTAAACAGAAATCTTGATCATTTAGTCCTTAAAGGCTACCATAATATTTCACCTCATGCGAATGTTGTCACGTTCGTTCTTATTAAATATTAACTTATCCGCTACGAACAATAACTTCTCTTTATCTTTCGTCTAATACTCGATAACAGTAGAACACTTAATTGCATTCGTTTGACATTTTTTATTTCTAAAATAAGGAAATATGTACCGGGGTGAAATTTCACTCATGACAGCATCAACGTGATTCTCTTTGATGGTAGCTTTTATGAACTAAATTGAATTCTGATAACTTGAAGCGGGGTGCCTGTCGTTCATACTTCAGTAGAAGATTCTTTCATTGAACAAAACTTTCATCGAAGAAACATTTTTTTCCGGTGTACAAACCGGCGTGGTAGTCTCAACGTTCGCCACAGGTTTGTTAGTATTTCCTAACTTTTTTGGATTTTTTTTTTTCTGGACGTTAACGCGAAGTCACCATGGTAACAGGATAATTCCCCTTCCTACTTTGAACAATCGATAATTAACAAACCGAAAACTGTCGCGTGCAAGTAAAAGAATCCTAATAACCTAGTCGCGGGAAACACCACCACCAAGGCTGTTATGCCGGTCATTGCGCGTTCGAAACGCACGCTCCACGCCGTTCGCGACCGCGAATCCCCCGACGATGCAATTTGCACACGCGTATTAGCGACGGAAGACGGGAATAATTTGAGAACAGTGCCGACAGACATTCGCAATGCGCATCGCGGCGCACAGAGCCCGTTGCGTGGGCGCGTCACTCGTCAAAGGCAGCGAGCATTCAAAAGGGCGCCTCGTCGGTGGAAGTAGAAAATGTAATTAGAGAAAGACACTGCGCGCTTGCGACAACAACGACGACGACGACGACGACGACGACAACGACGAGGGCACCGAGGGCGGTAAAGGCGTCGTCGTTGTCGTCAAACATTGTTATCCGTGCACCGCAACATGGATAAATTGCGCGAATGGTACGACCATAATGGCGTTTTATTACGCTATCGCTAAAACGACGCCATAAAGCTAAATCAGAACTGTCGACGTGTACATGCGCCTACTGTATACGTACGTGCACGTAGTCACGCACACATACACACACGCACACGTACATCGCGTTACAGAAAAATCTACCGAGTGTCTGTTGCGCAAGTAATTATCGGCGATATCGTTTATAATTGCTTTTACCGCGAAATCGTAAGTTTACGAGTGGGTGTGCTGGCGATGGCGGCGAATTAACGTCAGCGCTCTCGTGGCCGGCGTGGAGGGGGAAGGGACGGAGGGGGCGCTCCCTGAGTCATTAGTAATTGCTTACGGTTTGTTTGCAATGCCGGGTCAGCGCAAAAAGCGGCGCGAAAACGAGCGCGGCCGCCGCTGTAATCTGCTTGTAACGTAATTTCTTGCTTCCGCGGAGGTGGAGCGCAGATGTTCGTGAATTTCGGCCGTTGAATAAATAATAAACACTATAGAAATACCGCGCGCCACGTATACGCAGCATTATAAATTCCGTCGGCGCGCACCTCGTTAGTTATGTAACAAGTAATCGCCGTCCTCGCGCTTCTCACCCTTTCGACTCTTCGTCTCTCCCCCCCCTCTCTCTCTCTCTCTCTCTCTCTCTCTCTCTCTCACTCCTCTCCCGTAAGTAGACGTCGCCGAATGCCCTGAATAGGCATTCTATGCAGATACTTGAAATAGTCGCTTCTCTCTCTCTCTCTCTCCCTCTCTCTCTCTCTCTCTCTCTCTCTCTCTCTCTCTCTCTCTCTCTCGTTTGTTGGCTCGAGCTGATAACGGCACGACACAAGAATCGTCAAGTCGGCAACACGACCGCGCGATTTTTCCGCCAATTCACGCACGACGGAGAGTGATGGAGGAGACAGAGAGCGGGAGAGAGGGGGGAGGGGGGACGGATGAAACCGCGAGGTCGTGCTCGATGATCGCCGAGGCGAGCAATTAAACGGGACTTCTTCCTTAGCGCGAGACATGGTGCAACAACGTCGTCGCGATACGCCGCGCCGTGCCGACGCGCATCGCTGCGCTGCACCCACAGTGGCAAACAGTGGCATTGTGTTTTTGAGCGGTTGACACGCTGCCAAGACCGCCACGACTCCCGGGTTCCCTCGGGCATACGCTGCGAACACGCTGCTGACACACGTGCGACACCCGCGCAGCACGACGCGGCGCGGTGCGGCGCGGCGCGGCGCGGAGCACGCCGATGCTGTGTGTATGCACATCGCGCGTATACGACGCGGGCATGAAAGGACGAGCTTGCTTTGGCCCGATCATTAAGATGAATGGCCCAGCTGATTAATCGTGCGCCGTTTGCCGTTGACACCGTCGGCTTTCCGCGCGGTCGCGTCGTCCCGCAGCCGCGGCTTTTTGGCTCTCCCTCTATCTCCCTCTCTCCCTCTGTCTCTCTCTCTCTCTCTCACACACACACACACACACACACACACACACACACACACTTTCTCTGTCTCTTTCTCTCCATCTGTCTCTCTCTCGTCCTGTGGTCGACGGATTGTCAAGTTCTTCAGCGCGATACCGCGACGCGAGATGACGCACGATGGCGGCCGGAAAAATTGACGTCAAATGAACGAAGGAGGGAATTAAAAATGGATGAGGGTGGAGAAATGATGGCGGTATAATAGAGATAATAGAGATAATAGCGCAACGGTCGAGCGAGCGATGCCTATCTCCCTTGGGTTATCTATCACTCGTGAAGCTGGTCGCGGTGGTTTTTGCGGAATAATCGATGGGGCGACCACAGGGTTGTAGAGTAAACGTTAAACGAACGAAGAGATGACCGGATGATAAATCTGATAAACGAGCGCATAAAAAAGCATTGAATGGAAACATATTTTTGTGAGCTTCCCCTCCCACCCCCCCTCTCTCTCTCTCTCTCTCTCTCCACTCCCTCTTCGCCTTCACATATGTATATCTCATTTTGCACATTTATTTCGCGAGGTGCGCATTGATAGTACACTTATCGGTTTGTGTCCCAATGTTTACAGTCGTGTAAATTAATTTTTATATTTGCGTAAATGATCTCCTTCTCCCAATACGACGCAAGGGTATTCTGCAAAGTATCGAGCTGCTTTCGAGCGGAGTGTCCTCCGATCGCGATTGAGATTCGCGATATCCCACGCTGAGAGGCTGCACAAAGTATCGATATCCCGTTAAATCCAAGCGTCTTCGCGAGAGATCGGAGATTCCGAGTGTCAATTCCGCGATTCCGCTAAGGAGTTCGCACGTTAAGCCAACTTTGCTCGCGCGAGAGGGGTGAGTTACGCGCGCGCGCGCGCGCGCGCGGCTCGGTACGGTCCATTTCGCATCTCGAGGGGCGAATTGAGATTCCGCCAGTCCTCACCCCGCATTACCGGAACTCCTTGAATTATTATCTTAAATCGCGGGTCGTGCGCTACCTATGAAATCGGACGTCTCGCTCGTGGGAGAGGCGGGAACGAATTGGGAACGACCGCGAAGGATCTGCCGGGTGATCCCGCCGGAATATCCACGTTCGCGAACCTCTGACCCGGGAGCCTAATCTCGATGCAGGACGTTTCGGTCCCTTATTTCGGCGAGATTTATGATCGCGCCCGTCCGCCCAGCCGCTCGACAGACGGCGCGATGTCGATCGGATTTTTTCGCAGCTTGTTCTCGCCTTCTTCTCAAAACGCCGCGCGCACCGCGCGTGCACGGCCTCTTTTTGGTCGCCGGCTTCCGCACGGCGAACATTTGACCAGAGGACCAGCTGTTTGTGCAGCTTCTTAATTTGAAACTAAAATTAAGTATATACGGTTAAATATATACGGATACGCGCCCTTGGCAGGTAAGCCTCAAATTAAATTCCTGCTAAAGCAAAGTCACTTGAAGTTAACGGGGAAGAAACAAAGTTCCATAGTATCCTTACACTATTACCAGAAGCTTATTTTGCCGAAATACTCCAACTTTCAATACAAGATGTGATTATAATTAAACAACTTCTCGGTAACTTAAATATTTTCGTAATTACATTTTCTATCCAACTTCCGTTACGGGCTCCCTCCCTCTCTCTCTTTCTCTCTCTCTCTCTCTCTCTCTCTCTCTCTCTCTCTCTCTCTCTCTCTCTCTCTCTCGGTTTCTCTGAAAAACCTGGCGGTTGCGGAAAAGTTGATTTCGCGCGCACGCGTTTCACATCATTATTTTCATATCGTTTCGCGGAACACGCTTCACTTTTACCGGCACTTATCAAACTTGTATTATCACGTTAACGTGACGTGACGTCACATTCAACCTCTCCCATTTGATGCCTCGCCGAAGGCGATATTGATAACAATTCCGCGCGCGCGCGCGCGTGCGGAAACTCGCCGGCAACATCTCGCGAATTAATAAACGCGACGGCGCATTGATAATTCGCAGCCGAGAAATCGAGATCAAAGGTGCCCCTCGACGGAGGGACCTCTAATGAAGGACTACGCATCGACACACTCGGGTCGATTAGCATCGAACCGCCCATGCTAGAGCTACTTCCGTAAT